GAGGGTGGGGGGGGGTGAAGCGCGCGCGCGCGCGCGAGGGAAATGATCAGCGCTGGCTTTCTAATTAAAGAAACTTGGTGGGTGCCTCCCTCCTCCTCCCCCCTCCTCCTCCTCTTTGCTCGAGCCGGGACAGCTCCTTCTACGTCTGCTTGGGGAGGGTGGGGGGGAGCAGCATAAGAGGAGAGCGCGCGGCGGCAAAGGCGGGGGAGTCTGAGGGAACTTGGGTGGCGGCAACAGGGGAGCTGCGGCGCCCGCGAGGTGGCCAAGCGGGACGCGGAGAGCCGGCCGTCCACCCACCCACTCGCAAATAGACACGAGCTGACTCGGCGGCGGCGGTCACCTCATGAACTCCTTGTGAACCTATAAAAAGCGCGGCCATGGACTAGGTGAAGGAGAAGAGACGGCTGGCGCGCCTGGGAGAAGACGGAAAGCCGAGAAAGGGGAGGTGAAAGGCTCCTCTTTTTCGCTGCGGGAGGAGGCTCAGCTCTTCAGGGAAGGAAGGGGACATCCGGACCCGTCGAAGGGACCGGAGCCGGAGGAGACAGGTATGCTCCTCAGTTGCCCAAGTGCGAACGAGCGGCTAGCGCCGGCGTCTTATCAGATTACTTGCTTAGGAGTGGCGGCTGCAAGGGTAGCGCCCGCTCGCTTCCTGCCAAGTTAGTGGACTCCTCTCAACAGTTTCCCGGGGCGCTCTTTGCAGCGATGGGCGAGTGCGGGCGCAAGCCAATCTTTGCAGCCTGTCTCAAGAAGGCTTCCCTTCTTGCTAGGCGCGCCCTGCCAGGTCTTCCTTTGATCGGTTCGGCTCCTGAACTGATGTTAATCCAGAGCAGTGTTTCTCAACCTTGACCATTTTAAGGCATGTGGACTTCAACTCCCAGAATTCCACAGCCAGCATTGCTGGCTGTGGAATTCTGGGAGTTGAAGTCCACATGCCTTAAAATGGTCAAGGTTGAGAAACACTGGTCCAGAGAGACAAAGGGCACTTCTGAGGAGGGGCAGTAGAAATCAAGGGCAGGTGTGTGTGTGTGTGGGGGGGGGGGGTTTGCTTCGTTGTAGACAATTCTGCTCTATGAATAAAAGCCAGACACTCCGAGGCAAGAAAAGAGCAGAACATCTAGTCCGAATTAAGTCATTTGAGGTAGCGTTGTGAAACCTGACGTCCATCCTGCCCCGTGGAAATTGAAAGTGCTCCACGGTGATGGGTTGGGTGGTTTCTTTTCCGCAATCCTTTACCTTTGGGGCATCCAAATGCAATGAAGCTGCACTGAGCATCCCCAGCAATGTGGAGGAGGAGGAGACCTCTCGGAGTAAGGCCAAATTGACACACTGTTGATGTCTGAGCGGATAAGATAAATGGGGTGGGTTAAATTCAGAGGTTATGCTGAAGACTGGAGATTGAAAGTTTCATACCTTGCTGAGATGGCAAAGATTTCGGCTTATTTGAAGAATCATTCAAATGAACAATTTTTATTAATATGGAGAAGATGGATTGTTTATATTCAAAAGAAGCATAGAGTGGTGGAATATAATTTAGGTTTTTAGAAATTGTTTTCTTTTCTTTTATATATTTTACCTATTCATGTAGAATAATATACTTTGTGGAGTTAGAGATATTAATATTTGTTTAATTATATCTGAATATTATCCTGGGATTGGTTTGGGAAGTCCGGGGGGGTGGGGGGTTTTCATACAACATTGTGTAATATTTGTGGAAAAAAAAATTTTTTTTTCTTTTTTTATTTTTTTGAAAAACAATAAAAATTTTATATTGAAAATTCAGAGGTTATGCCTTGAACAGGATGCATTGGATGGGGTCAGGTCAGACCTGGAGCTGTATGATGTGGAAGTTTTCCTTGAAAGGGTTTGGAGCGTTCTGAACTGGCTTACTGAAGGACCACATACCATGTGGTGTAATGTGTGTAATCACTTAGTACATTGATGATTTGTAATAGCATTTGGCAGCCTTGTAGAATCTACTACGACCGGAGGCAGATAAAATAATCCAGAATGCAAATCATTCAGAGATATTCTGCTTTGAAAATTTTAATGGAAGGCCAGTGTACAAATTAGAAATAGTTCCCAATGTATTGACTGAAAATAGTGAAAACATTACCAAACCAAGATTAAGAGTAATAAGTCCGTTCTGATTGTCATGTAGATTTCTAAATACTTAGCTAAGCTGTTATTTGATCAATGCCTCTGTATCCATCAGCAGAAAACTATATGAACTTTTTAATCAATCAACAAGATCAAGTCAAGCAAATCTGAATAGGATGAAAAAATTCCCAGTGACTTAGAAACTGTATACTGGAGTCAGGTGACATTGCTATTGATTTCTCTGTCTCCCTCCCAAATGTTTGGTTACTCCTTGTTGAAGCTTCTTATCTGCTCTTAGCTTTATTAAGAGGCAGAGTGCTTAACACATACATTTCATTCAGGATTTCAGGATCTGCCAAGCAAATGGATAAATTTTATCTTTGCTATAGTTTGCTGTTTTCTAATATTTTGTTTTTCATTTATTCTTTGCCCAGCTGATTTTGTAGTGTATCTTCTCTCCTACACCAATTTCACTACATTTGTTGATATTTTTGAGTATGAAGGATAAGGTCAGACTATTACATGAATGCATCTAAAGTCCAATTGTTTTCCTAGCTAAAGAATAATTTACTGAAATAAGAAAGCAACAACTCTAAGTAGTTTGTTCCATATATATAATGAAAATTGTTCTATTAGAATTCATGTCTTTCTTTTTTTAAAAAAACATTTTCTCTCTTTCAGGGAGTAAGTGGGAAATATATTCTCCTTTCCTGGGTTGTCCCCACAAGTGCAATGTGCAAACTTCTAAGGTCTTCAGTGCTGATTGGGCTGATGGCATTGATACTTTCAGCAGGGCATTGTAAAGAAAAATCAGAATCTAGTGTTGGGTTGAAGGAAAGACAAAACCTCTTAAATCTGATAATGGAGATCATTCAAGAACTGAAAAGATACCATCTAGAAGAGGAGGAAGAGAATGGAGTGCAGTACAAACAAGACTACCCACCTCTTGATCAAAGAGAAGTGCCTGACTATGGAACTTACTCAGAAGAACAGAAAATTGGTAAGTCTATTGTGTTGTATTAAATACAATTTACGGTAATATGATCTCTCTCCCCCCCCCCCTGCTCACTTTACTAAAAAGAAAAATGTGCCATCACATTGCTAGTTGCCCCTGAAGAATTCTTTAAAATGTTTATAAAGATAACCTGACTGACTTTTGCATAGATCAGTGGTGGCGAAGCTATGGCACGAGTGCCAGAGGCGGCACTCAGAGCCCTCTCTGTGGGTACATGTGCCGTCGCCCCAGTCCTAGGCCTTCAGCTGGGTTTTATAAAACCTTTTCGCTTTAGGCCTCCGCCGCCATGTACAAAAAAAAAGGTTCAATCAGTCAATTTCAACTTCTCGCGGAAAAAAAAAAAGATCTTGCAAAGTTGGAATTGATTGAACCTTTTAGTCCCACCCAGTCTGCTGTTACTACTGCAGCCACGCCCACCCAATGGGCCACACCCACCCAATGGGCCACACCCATCCGGCACCCGACAATGCATAAGTGGGTTTTGGGTTGCAGTTTGGGCACTCAGTCTCTAAAAGGTTCGCCATTACTGGCATAGATGAATGGGTTCAACTGCTCTGAAGCTAGAGGAAATGAGAGGACCAGATCTGACCAAGTTTTACCCAATTAGATATTTGGCTTAGCATAAGCATAGACTAGAGAGATAACATATTCCAGTTGCTGTGGTGAATGCCATGTGCATGTACACTCTGGATCATAGGGAGAGCTCCGGGAGTGGTGTGGTAGCAGTAATGTCCCAGTAAGTCCCCTCAGCACAGTGGATCTTCCAAAAGTAGTGAGCCAGTTTGGTTGGTCTATACATTTGGTGTCCCAAGGACTCCCATACTGAGTAGCACTACCCTCTGGAAACTCCTTCCTAATATTGTCTTCAATAGAGAGAGTTATTTCTCAGATGATACTGGGGGGGGGGGTTGGCGGGGGGGCAGAATACGTTGGGAGTAATGCTTGCCCTCAGAAGATACTTATTTATTTATTTATTTATTGGATTTTTACCCTGCCCTTCTCCTTGCGGACTCAGGGCGGCTACATTGGGAAACTGTGGCTACCCAAGGGAGATGTAGAGGAAGGAGCCACATCTTTTTTTCGTGGGGGAGGGGGTCCGGAGCCCTGGTATGAGGATTTCTTTGCTGGGCAAAGAATCGGAAAGTCAATGAACAAGTAAGGTTTCTCTGCTAAGGTAAGTCATGAATGAAGGACTGTTTGAGGCAAGGAGACAAGAGAACGGAAAGGGAACAACACAGAAAAAGAAAAGCAAGATTTGGGCAATAGCTCTTAATAGATTGGGGTTTTCTAGATTATATTATCTATCTGGGAATCAAACCACTTGTGTTCTTTTAAATAAAAAAAATGCCAGCTAGATAGCTAAAGTGAAGTAGTAGTTTCACTGGTATTACTCCCCAATATTTTTTTTTTATTTATATTTCACGGCCTATCATGAATGCTATTAATTTTATATTTCCTAAAGATTTTTTGTATCTTTAGGAAATGGTATGGTATGAAAAGAATAGTATTGCAGCTCTTGGCTAAAGAACTACTAGACCACATCCAGCTTTAGTGATCATTTGAAGTTCAGACTCTTGGCTTAGGGGCAGTGATAAATTGGATAAGGTCCAATAAACTGAACCAAATAAAATGGTTGTAGATGAGTGATTTTCAGATCTGAGAGTTAAAAGTGTCCTGTTCTAGATAAGCCAGCACTCCCACAGGTGCATACAATGGGGGGTTTCTCTTTTATTCTAATCTGTCAACTAACGGGACAGCTAGTTCAGTAACAAAGAAATCCTGTGACCAAGTTTGTCCAGGCATCTGGTCTAAGTTAGTCTGGCCTCAGTGAACCATTCCCTAGTAATCTCATGATGGGATAAGCATAATGTACCCCATCAAGGGCTACCATTGGACACTGTCACATTTAGAATGTAGCAGCTCAATTGCTAAGTGGAATAGATAAATCAGATCAAATAACATTGATCCTGAAAATGCTGTACTGACTGTGAATTCTTGGACCAACAAAAGTGTTTCAATTAAATTACAAAGTTCTGAGCAGTTTAAGAATCAAAGGTTACAAGATTGCCAGGCCATGCACTAAAGATCAGCAAGGGAGGTTCTGCTTGTGGTCTCCTTTGGGGTTTGGCTAGGAAAAGTCTTCTCCAAAGAAATACTCATTATTATGGAAAGTATAGCTAGCCTGAGGGTTTTTTTTGTTTTTGTTTTTATGTTGAAAATAATAGTTCTTCATCCAGGCATGAGTAGATAACTGTTCCCGGTATACCATCTTTTAGAATCCTTTCTTAAAATTAGCTATTTAACTATTTTCATCTATTATTTTTTCTTGATTTTTATTACTCTATTGAAAATTATGTTTATTCTTTATGGACCTGCTCTGGGCTCATCTAGGAGGAAAATGATACAGAAATAAAATATCACCATAACTGTTGTTTTTGGTGTGAATTTATAATGCATTCCTAGTTTACTGGGAAGTCCCTAGTTCACTGGGTGTTCAGGTGCAGTCTTATATGCATGGAGCAAATGGATCTGGTAAAATTCCCATTTCTTCATATGCATATTTTAAGTGTGCTTTGCTTGCTGTCTGCTTGGAATCAAAAGCAGTTGTGCAAGAATCCAAGCCTGTTGGATGATTGAGTCGCCTTTGAAAATCTCATATTTTCTGCTTCTCTACTGCTTATTTATTCTATATTAAGTTTAGCATCCTAGAGTCCCATTGGTATTAATGGAAAAATTAAAAAGATAGGAAGTCATCTCCCATTACTCTTCAATTAACACATATACAAACATGGTTTTGAGAAAATGGGATATATACACCTTTTATTCCTTTAAGATGATGTGCCATAGTGTTCAGTACTTTAATTTTTTAAAGCCTCATTAATTTTAACATCTCCTCAAAGTGAATCTTGTAATTGACACAAAGTTTGTGCTATTAGAACAAAATAAGATTTCCTTTTAATATATGTACGGTAACTTATTGCATTAAGCCAACATGTGATTGCTTGATTTTGTCTTAGCATATTGTTTCAGCCCAACTAACTATAGTCTATTAAAATGGTTCAGTGCAATGTGCAAATCAGATCAATGTCTTCTCTACTCATTTGATTCTCCACAGGAAGGATCATATGACATATATGAGACTAATATGCTTTTAAAAAAGGCTATTGATAGAAAGTATAATTGTAAGCAATTATAATTCTTTTCCCATCTCCCACACTGAAACCAATGAGATTTGAAAGTGATTGCATTTGTTTAAACCCTGTTTATAAATTATTTTACTTTTATGCTGGTGCTTTGCTATCTGTGAAGCAAACGTGTTTTTTCTTAAAGTTTCAAGAGAACTGATGGACTAAATTTCATGTTAAGAATATTGTCTGGTCTTAAGTCTAAAGAAAACAGTGAATATGGAACATACTTTAAAAATATTTGACTGCCCAGAAACTAGGTACATAGATTTAGCTTTTTGGTTCCTCACATATGCAAAATAATATAAAATAAAAAGGGGTTTTTTTTCCTGCAAACACATCTCATTTTATTGAAAATAATTCAGAATCTCAGATTTAAAGGTTTTTCTTAGAATAGTTAATTTTGTATTAGTAATTTGTTGGGGGGAAAGAACTTTTAATGTAACAAAAAATACAATCTTACTATGGGAAAACCAGTTGTACTTATCATAATCTATTAATGTTTAATGTGATTTTCATCTTAGTGAAATACATGCTGTATTTCTTTGGAAGAAGGTCTATCAGGGATCAATTAATTAAGGTTGCTTAGTGCTGCATTTTACCTGCCTAGGTATGGATATTTTTATTAAAAATATAACTCAGTTAATCTAAATTGTGCACCAAATATGCTGACTTCAACTGAAATAATTTTGTATTGTTTATCTTGATTTTGCTAGCCACTGAAAACAGAGATAACTATACACAATTCTGAAGACCAGGGCGGATGTCCAGCTTAAATCAGCTGACATCACAAGTGCCAATTACCTCACCAAGTGCCACTGATAAAGCTCCAGATAGTATGTGCTTAGAGATCCCCCTCTCCAATTTGGTGACAACTAGCCATCATTTTATATTGACCACTGGTACTTATGTCCTATCTCAATTAAATGAACAAAACTGACCTTTTAAAAGCAGAACAAATATAACAACAAAAATCTTTAGTCATGCAATTTCTGGGCAGCAGTGGGACAGTACTAGAAGCTCAAATACCAACAAAATTAATGAGCAGATCTAGTTTAAAGCTAAGGTATACTCTATTTTTGTGCAAGGAAATTTAATTATTATAGGGAAAAGAAAAATGTATGGATGAAACATGTGGTGCTTTTAATAGATGTTTGTTTATCCTAGAGATACATTCCGCTAATACTGGTTATGTGTATTTTAAAATGCTTATAGAACTCATCTGTTCATCATTTGGTGAACATTTAGCTCAGCTTGGCTAAATTCAGAATCTAGCAAGGTCAGCTGTGGCTAGAAACCTTAGCATTATTGGCTAAGGTTAGAACTACTGGTTAAAGAGAGAAATTGAAAAAAATATATCTTGAAAGAAGGCAAGGGTAAACCACTTCAATAATATTATCCATAAAATGACAAGGATGCATTCACCAAAAGTTTGAGATATATATTTTATCATACATTTTAGCAATTTTTTTAAATATACAAATTTAAAACAACTGCAAAATCTGCTTAAGCAACAGATTGAATTCAGCGTGTAATTTTGCTATATAGACTATAATTGGACTATATAGATGAAGACTATCTGTTCTAATGAAAACTTGCCAATTTCTAAAATACTTTTCTGAAGAAACCTTTCTGAATTGCCTTCATTTTGCAAGACTTTTGAGAGATGTATCTAAGCATTTAGTGCTGCAATTGACAGAATTAAATCAAAATATGATAAGATCAATTCAACTTAGTTGGACTATACTTAGAAATAAATAAAAGTTAAATTTTGAGAAATAGCTAAACTCCCCAGTGGACCAGATATAGTTGAATGTAAAAGTTAGAAAGGGAAATGCTGTTTATGCATTAATTTATGGTAATATTAATGATCAAATGCAATTGTCATCATGACAAAATTGTAAATAATATTAAATATGACATTAAATCAAAGAGATGGCCATAAGAAGCTAAAGAGGATTTCAATAAGCTAGTTATATTCCTATCCATTGAATAAGATATGAGGAAGCAAACTACAGCAGTAAATAACAAAATAGCTATATGTATTTCCCATTCACCTCCATATTTTGTTTAACAACATGGTTTCATTTCTTCCAAAATATAATATTCTGTCAATGCAGTATTTAGTAAGACACATTTCTTTTTCTCACTCATTATTTTGCATCCACATTTCTGCATAAATCTGCATGGATAGAAGCATATGATATAAATCTGCTCCTTAAGAAAAATATGCTATACTTAGTTCCAAGATGAAAATGAATTTACAAGTTTTGCTATTGCTTCTATTACTCACTTTAGCTTTCAGTTTTTTCACTGATGTGCTCTGGAACTATTTAACTAATGAGTGTCAATAAAATTCATTTAAAAGGTGGCATTGTGCAAGCAATGTTGCATAATTTAAGATGAATGATCTTGGATTTTAAGGATATCACGCACAGCTGCTGAGACTTAAGCTGACAGCCCTTTCTCCCTCTCATGTCAGAGCAGCTTTAGTTAAAGCAACTAGAAGGTCCATGACACCTTTGCCAGCAAATCAGCATCAAGCCAAAAGAATAGAAATGCACAAAGAAGCTAGAATTTGAAGGGATCAGAGGAATCCCTTTAGTTTGTAATCCCAAAATAGAGAGATCACCAGAACAGATTAAAATACATCCAGGACTGCCTAAGCCACTGCATTTTGTGTACATATAAAATACATCCAGGACTGATCAGGCCATTGCAATTATAACTTCTTGATGCTCTTCAAGGCAATTCCACATAAAGCATATTACAATAGTTCAAATGGGAAGTGGCTAGATAATTATTATCTATGAGCAGGGGGTCCTGATCCAGGAAAGATCACGATTGTTGCCCAAGATGAAACTGGGCAAAAACTTTTTTTACTACAGTAACCACCTGTTCCCCAAGCAGAGCTATGACTAGGATAATGTCCCAATTGTGGACCACCTCAGAGTGGGGGGAGTACTTGTTCAGAATCAGAGTCAGTGTTTTTCTGTATCATTAGTGCCAGAAACACCCTTTTGGAAAGAGAACCATTGCATGAAGTACCTATCTATTCCAATTCCTCTGAGATAGTCCTAATTATTATTTAATTCTACCAATTTAACTCAGTAATGTTGTCCCTATGAAGCACAAAAATAAAGCAAAATAATTACAATTTACCGATTTCCAAGAACGTTTAGCAAGATTATAGCTGTGATGCCAAATATTACTCATCTTTACTCAAAATCTTGCTGCTCTTATTAAATGGGAATATCTTAATTATATAGGACTTTTGTTCCAACTGTATCAATGGAAAACAAAAGAGACAGATTATACTGTGCTTCTAAAACATCATTGCCCTTTCAGACAATTTTAACTTTTGCCTTAACTGTATATTCTAGGAAATTATGAACCAGAATATAAATACTGATTCTTCTAAAGACGTGTCTTTATTCTCTTTAACAGAAATATTTCCTAGAGACCTAAGAATGAAAGACAAATTTTTAAATCATTTAACAGGTAAGCCAAATTTCACATCTGAATTATTGCCTCAATTATAATCCTTTGTCTTATGGCACCAATTAAATTAATTCACGGTTTTTCTTCTTTTCCAGGTCACCTTTATTTTAGCCCAAAATGCACTAAACACTTTCACAGACTTTATCACCATACAAGAGATTGTACCATACCTGCATGTAAGTTCAATCATCCAAGACCAGAATTACTAATAAATATAGCTTTTTAAAGAATAATCACCCTGTATAATTACCATGACACACTTAAAGAGTTTGTAGAGTTACAGTGATGAAACAGAACAGTGCTCTCTTGCAATTCCTCAGGGAGATCTAAATGGTTCTAATTTCATAAACAAGAATTTAAAACATATTTTTTCAGACAGCCAATCTGTTCTTTCATTATATGCCAACTCTTTTTGTTTTAGGATTTCAATACAGGAACTGAATTTCTTATCAGATCAGATAACAGACATTTACAAATTAAAATTGTTTTGCGCTTAGAGCACAAATACACAGCTGAAAAATCCTGGTTGCTAGAAAAGCAATTATTCAGAGTATAATTTCTTAAGAAAATGAAAAACAACTTATACTATGCTGAAATACTCTGAATTCTGAAAAGCCAGTACTAGAAATGAAGTACTATCAGTGAAACCAATTCAAATTCTACATTATTAAATGGCAAATGTATAAATTTTAGATGATAACAATGATAATGATTGACTACCCCCGTCAACACTTTTTAAGGGATTTAGATATAAAAATTCAAAATTTGTGCCAATTACATCAAGAAAAATCAAAAAGTTCATATTCTTTTTCTTGAAATACAGAGAAGATACTAACAATAAAAGAATACTTTAAAAAAAAACCTCATTGGAATTTAGTCATTTAGTACATAGTTTGAACTTGCATAAATGCATAAAGTGCACATTTTTACTTCTAAGATGTAAACAGGTGATACGATTTCTGCAAGTAGATTAGTTTTTCCTTATGAGATTATCCTGCTATTCACAAAACAAATTGACCACAAAATCTCACACATTGTGCCAACTCTGTAAATATCTAGTTGAAGAACCAATTATTAGACTAGTTGAAGAACGAACAGTTGTTTGTTCAACTAGTCTAAGCCAAAACCAAGGGACCATATTAAGTCTTACTACAATGACCAAATTTATTTATTAGTCAAATCTAGTCAAAGACCTCCCAAATAAAGAGTTAGCAATTCAGCAAAGTATGTTTCCTATTTTCCAACAAGCTTATGGATTTTTAAAAAATGTTTTTTTAAAATCAGCTTAGTGATTGGGAATTAATCTAGAAAAACTATATTCTGGGCAAAGTATATTACCCTATAGCAAGGTTTTTCCACTAAGGGTGCTTTTCACAGGATTTAAAACCAATCCTGATTGCTAGAGTGAACTTAAATGATATGTGAGGAACTGAATTACAGAACTAAATGGCAGCCTAAATACAGTATTTGGCGAGCTACATTTCTTTTTATTACTGCATCCAGATTTCTGCATATATCTGCATGAAAACAAACATATAATATGAAACTGCTCCTTAACAAAAACTTGCTATGATTAGTTGCTGGGATGAAAATGAATTTACATGATTTGCTACTATTACTCGTTTTAGCTCCCAGTGTTTTCACTAATGTGCTCTGGAACTACTTAATTAATGAGCATCAATATGCTTCATTTAAAGGTTGACATTGTGCAAGCAATGATGCATAATTTAATATTTAAGAGTCACTCTATGAGGGACATGGGCAATTCCTAAATATGCTAAATAAATAAGTAAAAAGTATTGTTTAATGGGACACAGGGTAATTCACTGAAAAGTTATTACATCCTTAAAACTTCCTATATTTATGGCAACAGAAAGTCTGAACATATATAAACCTTCTTTTGAAATAATAGGTTTTATTATGGGACTTGACTTTTGATGTACTGAGTGGTGTGTTTTAAGATGCAAAAGACTGAGAACTGCTGTTCTAATCTAGACAATCTTTACAAATGGAAGCAGCAGTATTCGTCTTTTTCTACAGGTTTTCAGAATCCAAGTCCTCCTTTCCGCTTTCTTACTGCTATCCTGTTATCTTATTCCCATATTAGATGGGTAGCTAGATGCTGATTAATTTGCATCATGATTAATCTGAATTTTTTATTTTCTTCATAGGGACAATTAGTTATACAAATAGTTCACTGCAGAAACATACAAACCGATTTTTCTCATGCATGTTTACAATCTTTTCATGGATATTAGTAAATATCCATCATCTTAATCTGACAAAATATCCATCCATTCAACAGCATCCTATGCCACATCAGACTTCATAGGATGGGTATCTATCTATCTATCTATCTATCTATCTATCTATCTATCTATCTATCTATCTATCTATCTATCTATCTATCTATCTATCTATCTATCATCTATCTATCTATCTATCTATCTATCTATCTATCTATCTATCTATCTATCTATCTATCTATCTACACACACACACCATTCTTAAAAATCTAAGTAGCATGTTTAAAATTATCTCCTTAAGCATACAAATTCAAATCTACAATATAGTGCTCCAAGATGAATTATAGTTACATTTATATTCACTCATACAAATTGCACATTTAAAAAAATGTAATAACCCGACCCTCTTTTTACACTTCCCACAGATTATAAAAGATGCGCCAGGCTCCTTACTCGCTTGGCAGTAAGTCCAATGTGCACCGAAGGATAAGGTAAGATTACTGAGAGGAAGAACTGCATGCTGCTAGCATGTTGATAACAATAACTAATTCATAAGCATTGGCAGAATATGTTTTGGATTGAAATATGCTCATTTGAAACAGTGATACAAACCCTTTCATTTAGTAAAATATTTACCCTTAATAAAAACATATCCCCTACTGGAAAGTAATACAGTATAGACTCTCAGGCAACAACTGTGAATTATTCATAATAGTGTGCAGTTAGTAGATAGTGTATTTTTTAAAATTCAAAGCTAATGGGCATAGCTAATTTTTCAGGAATAAAATCAACTGCCATTTCTCTCTATTTATACTGGATATCTTTTTGTCCATATAATAGACATATTTTAATATTAGATACATGTAGAAGCCACTTACATATATACACCATTCATGATATAATGCAGTATGTAAATGCTGTTGCTTTTGTTACACATAGAATGAAACAGCATTAATATGTATTTGCTTATTCAACTGCAATTTGTATTTGAATTACTAAACCTGCTTAGCAATACAGTATAGCAATACCAGGAACTACGATTTCCCCCAAAAGAGAATCACTGAATTATTTTTTCTTGAATCAGTTATTTCATATAAAAGAAAAATAAGTTAATGCCATTTCTTTTATTTCCAATGTTCAAGTTATCCAATGTTCAAGTTATCAGCCTTGTGCAAAATAGTATTATTAGTAAGCTTGGAAAGAAGAAACTGTACTGCAGGGGTGGAAATTGGTGACTGGAACCTGGGAATATTCTACTGTACCTTGCAACATAGATGATCAAGTTTAGATTTTTATATTATGGAAGGTTTTTCTCATTTGTCTTAGTCCCCATATTGCAACAGGAACTGAAAACAAACTGAATTATTATTTAACAGAGTTCATTGAAAATTAATGTGAAATATCAGCAAAAGTAGAGTTAAATATTTTGTGCTTTTGTTTTACTTCAGATGCTACTATTATCAAAGGAAACATATATAAAAGAACCAAGAGAAGTGCCTTGGAAACTGACAGGGAAATTGAACTTAGCATTTTTGTAATATATGGCATTATGAACCAGAGATTTATTTTTGGAAATTGATGGACTACTTCTCATAAATCTTTAAAAATGTGTTTTGTATCCCATCATCGCTGTTTACAGATGCATTCTTTATAGTGAAAAACTACCAAAATGTTAATTACTTGTTCATGTTTTACGCTTTAAAGTTGCTCTACAACAGTTGTGTTGTACTGTCAAAAAAAGTAACAAGTAACATCTTTTCAAGTATAGACATGTTTCCCTTAAGAGACATTACAGTCCACTGTCAAGGAAACCTGCCTTTAGAGGAAGCATCAGTTTATATCTTTCTTGCTTATAAAACTGAAAATGTTACATTACAAACTTTTCATAGAGCTGTTACAGTGGTGGTCTACTAGACAGCATGCCATAGGCAAGGGATGAACATGTTTTAGGTTGGATTCTGCACCCACTCTAAAGTCACTTGTTTCCTGTATAATAGAAATATACATTCCAGCTAAATGTGCAATATGTACATATTGTAAATTCACAAATATAATAAAATGTTTTGTATATAATTTGATTCTTTGTGTTTATTCCTTACATATTCAAGTTTGAAAGAAATTGTGCTTCTGAAGCAGAGGTATGCAACCTGAGGTCTTCCACATATGTTGGATTCCTATTCCCATAATATTTAACCAGTGTATATTCTGGATAGATTTCAGAGGCTGCAACTCAGTAGATCTGAAGGGTACTAACTGATCTCAATACTTCCATTCTATTAATACTTCTCAATACTTGAGGGTTGACAATAAGCACTATGCATTTAAATAGTTCTAATAAGAATTAATTTTAATGTAACTTGGCACTGCACAGTGATGGCAGTCAATTACCACAGGTGTAACTGAGGGCATATTTCAAACCTGCCAAATAACTCTTCCAGAGTGAAACGCTATTGCCTGCTCAATCATGCTTTCATCCTTCTCATCCTACCCGTTAATAAGATGTTAACTCTAAATTTGCTTCACCTACTTCCATTCTAAAATAGATAACACCGCTTTCAAGCTACATAGAATCATGGAATTGGAAGACAGCATTTTGGCCACTGATTCCAAACTCTTGCTCAGTTCAGACATCTAAGGTTGTGTCATCAGGATGGTATTTGTATGTGCTCAAGATTCTAATAAAATATTTAATAATAAGATCTCTCTCCAATCTGATGAGAAATCACTATATGAGAATTCATTTAAACCCACTATGGGTCTACTGTGGGGTCAATTAATAGGTATTACCATCCATAAT